AATTTTACGCAATTTCTGGTTACTCTATATGATAAAAACATATCGATATAGAAATAGGCTAGCTATTCTTTACCAGGCGCTAATTCTTTTACATGCGCATTTGTCCAAATATTGCAAAGCCATAACTATTAACAGTAACGGTAAACCTCCCCATAACGATAACCCCCAAGTTTACGGTTTGGGTAATTATTACATATTATTTCTCGATCGTCTGCATGATTAATGTCGTAGTACGTATGAACGTATTAACCCTTACCAATTTTTTTTTTTTCGATCGCCGGATATCTTTTCCATTTAAGCCCGTGATTGACCATGAGACGTCTTAATTGTTGGATACCCTTTACTCATGATCCGCCACTTTTCTTTTTGGACTGATACCCGTTTACTCGTGATCCGCCACTTTTCCTTTTAGACTGGAACAGTAATGATCATCATCGAAAATTTTTATATGTTCTATATGTTCTGTATGTTCTGTACTTCTGTACTACTGAACTACTGAACTGCTTGCACGTCAGAATGTTCAGAAGTATTGAACAAGCCCCCAGAAATTTTTTATCGTACTCGGGTTGTATTTATATTTTTTTCCTATCATGTGATCTCCACTTTACTTAATCGTTATTCGCTCTGTTTTGATTGGCTATTTAATATTGTTTTATTATCTGAGTTATTTATGGTAAGTTTTCTCTTCCGAAATACCGAAAAAAAAAAGTATTAAGGTGTCGTAAAATTTTATCGTGTTTCATGTCAGTGTTTAGATTCCGGTAACTCTGCTCATGCCACCAACTCACTTTATGATCGATCTATTAATATGAGCACGTGTCCGGGTTTCATTCCGCTAATTGTTTTGCTTTTATGTACGATGATTAACAGATTATTCTTTTCATGGGTAGGTGTTGAAGTAAAGATGTTCCGTTCTGTCAGTCGGTTAGCAAGGCTGTGAACCGGTTTTACGAAGGCTGTGAACTATAATCTAAAATTACGAATAGTAACGTGATGTCGATCCTTGATTTTAACCAATCGAATTATTTGTTAATCGATCAGGCTTAGCCGTGCTGATTCTTAAGATCGATTTGCATGGAATTAATTTAATTTTTCCTAATAAGGTATTATTGATAATTTTATTTGATGAATGATTACGTACGTACTACATAAGCTTTTCATAGTGCCTTCCTTTTTTGTTTCTAAATTGCATGTTAACGTTCATTGTACAAGTTACCTATTTTCGTTGAAGCATACGTTATGTTAGGTAAATTTTATGTCGCTTCTGTTTGGGCGTTCTTTACTTACTAATTCTTGTTGCCAAAATTAATAGTGTCATTATTGCCGCTATTATGTCAAGATTTTCTATTCTTGTTTATTGCTTTAACTTAATTTTATTCTATTCTATGTCATTTTTTTTTAAGAAATCATTTTTTTTAAAATTTAAAGGTAAAATCATTATTTAGACGTGCTTCTATTTTATTTTATGAATTCGTTACTATGAATTAGTGACTATAAATTCGTTACTATAAATTCGTTACTATTAATAATCTGATTTATTAATGAATGCGTTACTATGAAATGTTAATACGTAAATAAAATACGCTGTGTTGATCTGGCTATTTCTGACTATTTCGCGTTACTTCTACTGCTATATGTCGAAGACTTATTATGCCTGAAAATAATATATATATACCTCCAAGAAAAATGTTGGCCATAAATTCTATCGTTTTTTCAAATTATTCAACCAATTCAATTAAATATGTCTTCGCATGCTACTGTAATCGTCATTGTTGTTACGAAGGATAGCTTTAACTCTTTAACTCAGGGTTTAGCGAAGTATCAAATAGCTGAGAATGATTTTAAGATCGTTCGTTGGAAGTATTTTTACCCTTTTAATCAATCATACACTGAATTTTCAGTTGGAGATATTGTAGTATTTACAGGCAAATTCGTAGTTGAAAATCTTGAACAGCATATCACTGTTTCTTGTGCTTGTGTTATTGCCCACAATGACCCTGATCATGAGTTTCAGCCTGACGAAATCCCACTTACCGTTCCCCACTCTATGTTTCATGTACTTGTCACCCGTGAACCTAAGGAATGCGGAGAATCTATTTACTTCGATGCTGGATGTTGTCAGTATAACCTGTGTATGAATACCAGGAATGTTCAGATAAAATTAAGAATGTTTTATCCTCCCAACGTGCCATGATATTCTTACCTACGTTCTAATAATAGTATTAAAATAAGCAGGGCATTTATTGTGTCCGGTTTTATTAGGCGTATGACTTCTGATTTTACTATAGTAGAACTCACAGATCTTGACTTCGTGTCTACCAATCTTAATGTAATTCAGAATCTGCAAATGAGCACTTCTTCTGTTGCTTCGGATCATTGCTCAGATATTGACTTGATCGCCAAAGACGTTGAACCTACTACCTCTCGAGCACCGAAAAGATCTCGTGTATTAGTATCGAGGTCCTTTAAACAAGACGCTAGCTCGTCCCCGATTATCGCTGAATCTGGCACTTCTTTTTCATCTTCGTTGACTCCCGTAAATACTGTCCCTGAAATGATTCAGATTCAAAAAAATAAAAAAAAATTGTCAGATTTGGCTTTGAATTATCTTGAACAACCTGTTATGAATGATGCTCATCATGATGATGTCTATGCTGAAGATGTCTCAGGAGATGACAATGATTTGGAGTTACTTTGTGAACAAGATATTGAAGTGCAGAAAAATAAGAAAAACAAGCGATCTTCAAAAAGAATTAAAAAATAATTTCATGTTTTGCAAAACATCTAGCCTTAATAAAGTAACCTACTTTATTAAAATACAAATAAATACGCATGCTTGATTTACCGATTAATGTCTGTATTTAGATTCACTGATCTCTTAATACAGTATTCAGTTATAGTTAAAACTATAGTATTTCTGAAAGTCAGATTTTTTTAACCAATATAAATTTCTTATATTATTTTGTTGTATGTAAACAAATCGTATACATATATTGCTTATCTATTTAATAAATAACTTCCGATTTACTTTTGAATATCGATATTATTAATCCTAACCCGTGATTAATTATATTCATATCATAATTAGAAGTATCATCTTGCTTTTATTACTCTTGATGTGTTCATGATCTCGAATCACATGCCATATTATGTTTGTCAATTGATATAACGCTGTCATTCTGTCACTTACTGTTTGAGTTCTCTATTGGCGTTAAATACCGAAAGCAGTACGATGTATGATATATGGATAATAAAAAAGCGTACACCCGCAGATTACCATAATAAAATCATTTCATATTAAGATATCGTAAAAATACGTTTGTTTTTCGTATTTTATTGGCATCAAAATTAACACAGCTTCTAGTTTTAGCGTAGTTACTGCCTAATTATCAACCCGGGTTTTCCTTAAAAATAACGTTATTAATTGATATCTAACGTGATAAATTTATTATTTTTATATCCGTTTACTAATTTGTAAATAAATAGATAATAAAATGTACACTTATTAATAAAATACGTATGCATCATAAATCATGTCATCGAGCTTTTTTATTTATTTATTTGGATAATCCCTTTTAATAGATCATAATATTTCATTGTCCCTGCATAAAATAGTCATTGTATCTTGTGATTATTGCTTTGTTATATTTAAATCGATGAACTTAAGATCTCTCTGAAAGCTATATAAAACGAAGCTTCTCATCTTTTCTCGTCGATAGATCTTATTTTAATATAATCAATTGAAAAGTTATCTGATATTAACCTTATTAAAACATCTGCAATGTCTCTTCCGATAACTCACCTTTCTATAGTAGACTTAGATGAAAATGATACCTATTATGATTTACGTAACGATGCTCTTTTAGGTTACCAAACCCGTCTGAATATCAACGCTAATCATCCGCGAGCACCTATATTTTTAACAGAAAATCAAAATCAATCCTCGTCTGACTTGCCGTCTTTTGCCCCATGGCAACCTTCTCTTCCCTTAATTTCTCTAAATCACCGATTTCAAACTGAAATTTTATATATGTTTCTTTGTGTTCCTTGTTCACATTGCTCGATTCTTATGTTTCCTGCTCAAGCAAGATGGGTATCTCGTGATATCAATATGGAATACGATCTTTGTAGAGCTTTTCCACATTTATCTCTCACCGAACATCCTAATAAAGAAGGCTATATCGCTGTGTGTATTTCGTGTATATCTGTTGCTAAACGTCACAATGCTCCAACACTTGCTCAAATTCCAGATGAACTGGCGAATATTCCAATGTTTCATCGCCGTTGGCTTTCGCCAATTCACCTGAGTTGCTCTCTCAGACGTGCTGAGAATTCAAATCATTTTACTCATTATCGCCACCTTACTGGTGTATTTGGTCTCTCAAAAAATCTTCGTGCTTTACAAATCTACACTGGAATAATAGGCGCCATCTTAGATCCTTCACCTAGTAACAATTGGTTTCATCCATCTTTGCTGCATGCAGCTAACTGGTTGAAAATCAATAACCGATTCTTCAGACAATTCGATCAAATGTTTTCATCAATTGCTTTGACACGGCCTCTAAATGTTTTTCCTACAGCACAATTGATTGATGAAGAAAACGTATTATCTAATAACATGCTACTGCAAGGCCATCCCGATATAGTGATACCACCATATGATTTTGCCCCTGAAGTTCATAATGAAGATTTTCATTATAATAGATTATTAGCTGGTTTCATAAGGGATTCCAACAACATAGATTTGCCGATTCCATATAATGATCCTAATTTAGAAGCTATACTTTTTCCTGATCTTTTTCCAGATGGACATGGTCATTGGGGAAAGATCTCTAAAAATTTAAATAATCGTCGTAGCCATATTGATACATATGCTAAGTACCTTAAACTTCGGTTACTATGTCCAGATCCTCGATTCCATCTCCATTGGTACTGGCCATATTGGTCTTATGTTAATCTAGAAAAACTATGGAACCATCAGAATAGACAACGTATTTTACGTCAACGAGACATGAATCAACAGCGACTTTCAACAATTGCGGACTTGATTAATCAAAGTATTTATAATAATAGACCAATTGTTAACGAAACTTTGACCACTACAGTACCTTCTTATATCCGAACTGGTGATACGTATTTTTGTCAATGTCAACATTCCGTGAATGCGATGGTTCAAGGTTTTGGCCTACCTCAGATCTTCTATACTATGACTATGGCTGAAGGGCTTTGGCCACATTTAATAAAGATTCTATCATCTACTGATGATCGTTGCACTCTACCACCCAATCGCCCTTTACATACTTATTTTCATTATTATCAGCGACTAAACTCCATTCGCAATTTGCTGTGGAAAAACCCAAAACTAAGTGAATGGGGTAAATGGTTGCATCATTTCGAACGGGATGAATTTCAAAATCGTGGCAGTATACATACTCATAGTATAGCTTACCTCGATATGTCTATTCCAAATCTAATAAATCATAATATTATTTGGGCGGATCTGCCTGATCCTTATACCGAATCAGTTCTTTATGAATTAGTTCGTAAACATCAAATCCATCGCTGTTCCCCTAATAAATGTGGTAGTCCACCTCTCCCTGGGGAACAATGCAGAAAAAAATTTCTAGTACCATTGTCGGATCATACTTATTATAATCCTACCTTTTTACATTATACTTATCGTCGAACTAAGGAAGCAGACTGATAGATTGTTTCTTATCACGCACCCACTTTGTTATTATGGCAAGGCCATTATAATTTTCAATACGTTATCTCTAAGCATTTTGCTAAATATATGACTAAATACATTACCAAACCGGAAAGTTCTGATCTATTTAAGTTAACTGAACATGATGCTTATCGATCCCATATCTTGGCCTGCCATCTTGGTGCAATAGAATTGATGATACTCTTAATCGGATATTCTATTTGTCATTCTACAATTGCTACTGAATATCTACCAACTGTACCACCTAATATACGATAAAAATGTGTGAAGCCAATCCGTCTACTGAATGATGAAACTTCTAATCCATACTGGGCAGATGCTATTGATAAGTATTTTTTAAGACCCATCGATTCGCACTTTGACGATATTACATATCTATATTATCATCAGAATTACAAATTAAAACCCAATCGACCGAATTCAAATGTTAATTATTGGGTAGATCAACAGGGTAAATTTGTAATTAAAAGAAAAAAATCGATTTTAGTGAGATTTCAACACCTTTCAGTAGAAGACGGTGAATCGTTTTTTTACCAACAGCTTCTACTTTATTTATCCTGTAGAAGTGAAGATGAGTTGTTAGGCTCATATCCAAATTATCGAGATCATTATCGCTCTATATTTCCTGATCAGTTTGATCAAGTTATACTGAACATTAGTCAGAACACGTCAGCAAGATTTGCTAATTTTTCTATTAATTACCAACGACAAATAGATAATATAATACACTGTATGCATCGTGATATTGCGACCATTGTACGTAATCAGCTTAATACTTTGATGTCTTTTCCACCTATGATCTCTCGATATTCATTATTAGAAACCCCATCAGACCAATATGCCGCGCTAAATATGTTAACTTCTGCATGGAAACGTATAAATGAAAATGGACATCCATATTTTTTTTTAACTGGTTCAGCAGGAACCGGAAAATCTTATCTGATAACTTTAATCATCAACCACCTCTGATCACATCATAATAAATACTTATTAATGGCTCCGACGGGCGTAGCAGCCCAAAATATCAACGGCGGAACAATTCATTCTCAACTAAAGATACGGCTATCTTCTAATAATCATATAAGTTTGGCTCTAAATAATCAAGAAAGTCACCAGTTTCTTCGAGAACTTGAAGTTATCATAATTGATGAAATATCCATGGTATCAGCCAGTTTGTTGACATTTATTAGTAATCTTTTTGCTCGTCTACACAATAATACTTTACCATTTGGTGGAATCAAAGTTCTGTTAATCGGTGACCTTGCACAACTACCTCCTGTAAGTGGTGCTCAAGTGTTTCGATCTCCTGTCTGGTCAGAATTTTTTCCAATATTTTTAACAATGCCTCGTAGACAAAATGAGGATACGATGTTTTACATGATATTAAATGAAATCCGGAACGGAACTATATCAATCAACACCTTACAATCAATTAACAATAAAATAAAAACCCCATCTTCAAGATCACCTACTGATACTACATACTTGGTTGGATTTTGTGCCATGGCTAGCAATATAAATAAATTAGCATTTTAACTTTACCTCAAGAACCAAATGATCCTGAACCTGTCATTTCAACTGCTGTTGACTATATCGATCACCAAGAATACGAAGTGGTCGATAATGATCGTAATTTTCGTGAATATACGAATCTGCCTGCAACTTTAATCTTGCAAAAAGGTGCCCGTGTTATGTATCTTGACAATGCCCTGTTTGATCATGGTCTTCATAACAGATCTATTGGAATCATCGTCAATTTATTCGATGAAAACACAGTCGAAGTCGTATTTCCAACCCCACTGAGAATGATTACAGCAACGGTAAAAAAAATAACTAAACATTTTCTTTTGAATGGCTTACCATCAAGTTGACACCAATTTCCTCTTCAAAATGCTTTCGCACTCACTGTACATAAAACACAAGGACTAACCATACCTAATGTTTCGATTTCTATCGATGAACAAATGTTTGCGTATGGTCAAGCATATGTAGCACTTAGTCAGGCCCCAACATGGGATTCGCTGGATATTACTTCA